GAAGGAGACTAGGTTATGATGAAATACCACCTAAATTGGTTAAGAATATTTCCAAGTATATAATTGAACCATTAATGTACATATATAATCAGTCATTTCTTACTGGTTCTATTCCTGATGATCTCAAAGTTGCACTTGTTACTCCAGTATTTAAAATGAACGATAGGGAAGAATTTTCTAATTACAGACCTATCTCTATGCTCCCATGTTTCAGTAAAATATTAGAAAAACTACTGTACAATAGATTACTTAAATATCTTGATCAGAACAACATATTATTCCCAGGTCAGTGTGGATTTTGAAGAAAACACTCTAAAAACTTAGCAACTAGAACTAATAACAAAAATATCACAAGCAATGGATAACAATGAATATACATTAGGAGTATTTTTAGACCTTGCAAAGGCATTTGATATTGTAAATCATGAAATTCTGCTAAGGAAACTTGACCATTATGGAATGAGGGGTATTGTAAATGAGTGGTTTAAAAATTATTGGACAGAAAGAAAACAGATTTTAAAATACAAGTCACAACAATCAGAAAGCTTAGCAATAACATGCGGAGTGCCCCAAGGCTCTGTCCTTGCACCACTCTTGTTTCTCATTTACATGAATGATATCTCAAGGTGCTCAAAAATGTTGTCATTTATTCTTTTTGCTGATGACACAAACTTGTTTTATAGTCATAAAAATGTTGATATTTTATACAACATCATGAATCAAGAACTTGAAAACATCACATCTTGGCTTTCATGCAATAAGCTTTCTCTAAATGTTAAGAAAACACACTTCATGGTATTTAAAACTAAAAGAAAGAAACTAGACCAAGCTTTGGAAATAAAAATTAATGATCGACAGATTGACAAGGTTAAATACACAAAATTTCTTTGTTTATATATAGATGATGAACTCTCTTAGAGAAAACATATTGACCAAATTTCAACAAAAATATCGAAAATGACAGGGATTATGGCAAAGGCTAGACACGCTTTATCTATCCAAACACTGATATAAAGACAATTTATAACACTATGATGTATCCATACTACTACTTATTGTAGCATAATATGGACAAGCACATACCCAACCAGGCTGAAACCATATTTACCATACAGAAAAAATTGGTACGGATAATGACCTTTTCAAATTATCAAAATAAATCCAGGCCTCTATTCCAGTCTCTAAAGATTCTTGATACNACCATATTTACCATACAGAAAAAATTGGTACGGATAATGACCTTTTCAAATTATCAAAATAAATCCAGGCCTCTATTCCAGTCTCTAAAGATTCTTGATACATACGAGTTAAACATTTATTTTATAGCACTCTTTATGTATTCATACTTAAGCAATAATTTACCAAAATATTTTAATAATTATTTTACTTTAAATAAAAACATACATAGTCATGATACTCGTTCAGCATCAAATACATTATTTTATTGATTAAAAAAGGACAAATTATGGGAAATTTTCACTAAAATATAGGGAGGTGCAAATCTGGAATAACTTACCAATAGAATTGAAATGATTGCAAAGTTATAATTCTTTTAAAAGAAGCACAAAGATTTATGTGCAAAATCTAAGTATCTTAGGTTATTAGGTTTTAGCTTTGTTTTACGAAAACATGTCTATTAGAATTAAATCTATCATTAAATAAAATACCATCTGCCATGTAATTAATTATTTTCAGCTATAATAAGGGGATCTCCATAGAAAAGCTCGTTGAGCTTGCTAAGATCTCCAGCCATTATATCCAATTTAGCAGATATACGATCAATTTAATTGTACATGTAAAATAATAGACAAATAAATAAATCAATTGGAATTAGAAAATTGTGCCACTTACAAAAATCAGCCATTTACGGAAGGAAAGGAAGGAAAACTTGGCTTACCTTTCAATTATGCTGTGTTCATT